CGCGGGCTCAGGCAATCCACTCACCTCAGTCTCCCAAAGTGTGGGATTACAGGCTGAGCCACCAAGCCCGGCTCAAAGATTTTTTTTTTGTCAGAGTCTCACTCTGTCGCCCAGGCTGGAGTGCAGTGGCACACTCACGGCCACCCCAGCAATGACCCGCTAGGCTCCGGCAATCCTTCCACCTCAGCCTTCCAAGTAGCTGGAACTACAGGTGCGTGCTACCATGCCCAGCTTATTTTTGATTTATTGTAGAGACGAGGTCTCGCCAAGTTGTCTGGGCTGGTCTTGAACTCATGGGCTCAGAAATCCACTCTCCTCAGCCTCCCATAGTGCTTAGATTACAGGCTGAGCCACCAAGCCTGGCCCGGTCAAAGAATTTTTTTTTAAGCCTTACAGAACTTCTAAAAATGAAAAACATTCAGATGGTCTCACATTTTTAGCTAGAATTTTCAGAAGGATACACCAGGAAGAATTCAGATGGAGCAATCCAAAGACATCCAGAGGCCCATTCTCCCTGAAACCGACCTATCCATCTGATGCAATAAAATTTCCAACTGGAAGTGTTTCCCCAAGGAAACTGGCAAGTGAACTCTAAAGTCTGTATAGAAGAACAAAGATGGTTCTAGAGAAGAATAAGGCGGGAGAACTCACACTGCCATCCTGAACACAGGTGCTAAAGTTGTAGTCGGCACAGTACTGGGACGGGGACAGAAGGACGGGCCAGAGAACAGACCAGAGGGCCCAGAAAACACCCTGGTGTACACAGGAACTTGCTTAAAGTGAGACGGACACGGCTGATGGGGTGGGGGTGGGGAGGGCATGAAGACGGACTATTTGATAATAAGCGCGGGGGCAACAGGTTCTCCATAAGAAAACCCTGAGCTGGGACCCCTATCCCATGCAGCCATAAAAACCAAAACAAGATCAATCAAAGGCTTGAGTGTGAGAGACAGGTCAGAGGCCCTGAAGACACGGACCACGATGACTTTCTTCTCAGAGCTTCCACCCACCTCTTTAAACAAGCCCTTTCTCAAGACCTACCTAATTGAAAAAGAGCTTTGATCCATCAGGAGTCACAGTCATTGTGCAGTGACACCCTCAGGGACTGGGGTGAGACATCTGCCTCTTCACTAAGTGGCTTTTTAACTCTCTGAGCCAACCACTTTTTTTTTTAAGTCAGGGTCTCACTCTGTTGCCCAGTCTGGAGTGCAGTGGCACGATCACAGCTCACCACAGCCTCGACCTCTAAGGCTCAGGTGATCCTTCTGCCTTAGCCCCCCAAGTAATCGGGACCACAGGCACGTACCACCATGCCTGGCAAATTTCTTAAATTTTTTTGTAGAGACGAGGTCTCACTATGTTGCCCAGGCTGGTCTCAAATTCTGGGCCCAAACGATCCTCCCGCCTCAGCCTCCCAAAGTGCTGGGATGACAGGCGTGAGCCACCACTCCCGGTCAGATGTCACTTCTCACTGGTCCCTGTCCATCTGCTGCCTTTTGGCTCCGTTCCCAGCAACTGAGGCTGCTGAACTGTGACCCCAAGGACACCTGAGCTGGAACATTGTGTGCATCTCATTCTCTAGAGAAGACTGAAGAACTGGCCTGTAAAACAAATACAGCCCACGGCGGCCCCTTTCCAAGTCATCCCCTCGGGGGGTCAGCTGGCTTTCCCGGGTGTCACACGTACATCTCTCACACACAACGGACCCCCGGCAGGTGAGCCTCTCTGAGCCTGGATGGAGTGACCCAGGACACAGTGGCTTAAAAACTCCTCACCCTCCACGCAGGGTGGTTATTTTTGGCTGAAAATCCTAGAATGGGGTGGTGGGCGGGGGCTGGGGCAGGGACGGTTCATGTAAGGTAACAGTCCCAGGAGCCTGACCACGGTGCCCCTGAGCCAGCAGGGGGCAGCCGCAGCCCCTAAGCCAGGGTCAAGAGCAGCATAAAAAGGTCCAGCAAATTCCTCTGGGCTCCGAGGTAAGCATGTGTTAAGAGGCAGGCCCAGATGTCTAGAGCCCTGCACGCTGGTGCTAACCATCTTAGGTGCAGACACAAACAAAAACAGAAAAGGAAGCTTTTCGTCTAGATGTATAAGCAAAGTGGTGATAAACACTGGAATTTCCTACTTGGAAGGCTGAGGCAGAAGGATCGCCGGAGCCCAGCAGGTCGACACTGGGGTGGCCGTGAGCGTGACGCTGCACTCCAGCCTGGGCGACAGAGTGCGACTCCAACTCAAAACAAACAAACAAAAAAACCGGCTGGGCACTGTGGCTCAGCCTGTAATCCCAGCACTTTGGGAGGCCGAGGCAAGAGGACTGCCTGAGCCTGGAGGTTTGAGACCAGTCTGGGCAACTTGGC